ACACCACACCACACCACACCACACCACACCACACCACACAACACCACACCACACGATACCATACCATACCATACCTTACCATATCATACCATGCATACCATTTTACCATACCATACCATACCATACCATACCATAATTCATACCATACCACGTCATGCCCCGCCACACCATGACATACCATATCATACCATACCATACCTCAGAGAGTGTCCGGGAACACATACACTAAATTATCATATGTGTCAATAATATACTTTTTTCAATAACTTTATTTCATGTTGTCAAAGTATAGAATTTACCAGCATGTATTTTATTAATAATAAGAGCATTATCCCGCCTTTTCCCACAGCATGGGCCCAAGGCGTACATAGGAGATTAAAAACGCATTCATACTAACACCATACAAACTCATCATGTGTGCACTTTTTGACAGCAACATTCTTTCAGACAATAAAAAATGCTCATACAAAAAGGCAAAGATACTGTCCATTCATTAAAAGATTTCTTAAATAGATGTGTTTTGAGTCCCCTTTTGAAAGTATCAAGTTTTATTTCGCTCTTCAAATCATGAGGGAGAGTGTTCCAAACTGTTGGCCCAGAAAAAGAAAAAGATCTCTCGCCGTATTTCTTCAGTGACACAGGAGGTGTTGAAATTAGTCTAGAGCCACTGGATCTAAGTTCACGTGATGGTGTGTATGGTACAATTAGTTCTTGAATGTATGTGGGAGACTGCTTAGTTTGGCCTTTAAAGCATAGTAGGGCTAACTTGCATTCAATTCTCGCTTTCAGAGGAAGCCAATGGAGCTAATTGAGGGGGTTGGGGGCTGATCGTGTGGTCTACAGGTACGGTGTTCGCCCCTCATTCAATAGGTCCGTGTTCGAAACCTGAGAGTCACGGACCATTTTCTTCTTCAAAGTTTTCTCCTTTCACCTCTCTTTCCCGCTCTCTAACCACGTTTTGTCGCCTGCTTACGTCTCCACTTTCTTCCCACGCCCTCCCCCCCCCCCCCCCCC